GGCACCTGCCATAATGCCCAGCTAATTTTTCTATTTTTAGTAGAGACAGCGTCTCACTCTTGCTCAGGCTGATCTTGAACTCCTGTGCTCAAGGGATCCTTCTGCCTCAGCCTCCCAGAGTGCTCAGATTACAGGTGTGAGCCACCATGTCCAGAGAGCCACCCAGCATGACCAGCCAGTCCATCCCCACCCTCCATCCCCTTCCCCAATGCCCATAGCATCTGACTGGGCTAGAAGATCCCAGACGTCACCTTGAAGGGAAGCAGACATCCTTCTTCCTAGAATAAGGCAGGGAAGGGGATGCGGGTGTTCATGGCATGGAGAGAGAATTTTATTCTCTATACATAGGCCCTTGGCCACTCCTCAGACCCTTCTTCCTAAAGTGATCCCAAGCTTCACTGTCTGTCTGTCACTTTATTTGTTGGACTCTCAGTTGGTCGGACACAAATCCTGGGAGGAGGTTGTTTAAAAGATACCATGACAAGCAGAGAGGGATGGAATGGGGCAGGGTGGCAGGTAGGCGGTGGGGCAGACCACTATAGAGCCCCGTGAGGAGTTGGGTCACCCGGCATCTGCGGAGCAGCTCTGTGCCATAGTGCCACAGGATGGCGCTCAGGCTGCATGTCCCACAGGTGCCGCTCAGGGATGTGAAGGCCAGCGCCACCACTCACCAGCAAGTCATTTAACATCATCGAGTCTCTGTTTCCTCATTTGTAAAAGGGGCCAGGTTATCACAGCACCTGCCTGGTGGGAACGTGGTCAGAATGAAGCCTGCGCGTGTCGGTGTAGATGCAGGTGCAGAGGCAGCTGTAGATAGCAGAGGTATAACCGCCTTCGCGGAGCTGCCTCTGTGGCCAGTCCCTGTACCAGGCTCTGAGCACATCAGGACCCCAGACCCCACACTGTCCCCAGGGAGCCACAGCCTAGACGTGCGTCAGCTAGAGCTTCAGAGCCTGCATGAAACTGGGGCTCAGGATACTGAAACACAGAGAGGAGCCCTAACTCCACCTTTCGGGTCCTGGGAGCTGCATGGGGTCCAGTCCTGGTCAGAGATGGGGCTGGATGTGCCAGGGTTACCATGCGTGTAAGGGAGGAAAGGCTTTACCCTGATGGCAGATTCTCTGCCTCTTCTCAGTCCCAGGGCCCCTGCTAAAGCTCAGCCTAACTTGATGCCCCTGAGGGGCCCTCAGTGTCCATGCTGGCAGCCCCCACCCTGGCAGGGGCAAGAAACAGCTCTTCTTCTCCTTACTCTGATCTACACATTTGAAAAATGAACGTTCTCCCTCTCCTCTTCACCCAGGCATACATATTTCACATGGTCATTATATGGTGGCACTAAAGGACTCATAAATCCTCCCTGGCCAGCTTCAGTGGTCTGGGCAGGCAGGACAAGGCCCAGGGGACAGGGGTCACTGTGGGAGCTATGGCCATGCCCAGCCCAAACCAGGCAGCAGAGGCCAGGCCCTGGAAGCTAGGGGCTATCTTCTGTTCCTCAACAGTCACCGCTTGTCTGCCTGGGCCTCAGCTGCTCCAGGCTCCAAAGTGAGGGGCAATTCTGTGGGGCACCAATAGGGAAGACTTATCCCCGTGCTCTGACCCAACCCATGCCTTCCAGCACACCAAGCCCCTGCTTCTCAGCTGGCTCTCCTCCCATTTTTCTCCCTCTCCCCATCTACTCCACCATCTTCCCCTTCCCCCCATCTCTCTGCCCACCACCCACTTCTTACTGGGTTTGCACATTCATTTTTCAAGCATTTGCAAAGCATCTGTGTGTGCCAGGCACTATGTGGGGGGGGGGGCGTTCAGCCCAGTGTACTGCCCAGCCCTCGTGCTTCCCAGATCCTTTCCTTTCTCTCTCTTTTTTGAGACATGATCTTGCTCTGTACCCTGAGCTACAGTGCCATGGCACCATCATAGCTCACTGCTGTACCCTGAAACTCTTGGGTTCAAGCGAAACTCCTGCTTCAGCTTCCCAAGCAGCTGGGTCTATAGGTGCATACTACCACGCCAGGCTAATTTTTCCTTTTTCTTTTCTTTCTTTCTCTTTTCTTTTTTTTTTTTTTTAAGAGATGGGGACTCGCTGTCTTGCTCAGGCTGCTCTCTAATTCTTGGCCTCAAGGAATCCCCCTGCTTTGGCCTCCCAAAGCGCTAGCATTACGGGTGTGAGCCACAGTGCTTGTCCTGGACTCTTCCCTTTGACAAAGGAGGACAGTGAGGCTCAGGAGGGTGAAGTTTGGTTTCACAGTGACCTGCATTGTTGACACTGGCCTGGAACTGGGGTCTGACACCACACTGACCCCTCACCAAGGGGCTCAGTGACATCGCAATCAGTTCTTCCCTGGACCAAGCTGCACCTGTTACAGTCTAGCAGTACCATGCAGGGTGACGATTATTCATCAGTGGACCTTAGGGTCCGCTTCTCTGCAGGTCCCTGGAAAGGGATGATGTGGGCGGGGTTATTATGGGAGCTAAGGTCTCCTCTCCCTTGGAATAACCAGGCTCCCTCCCTTCCTTCTGAGAACAACTTCCCCCTTAGTTCTGAGACAATGACAGAGGCCCAGGGCATGGCAAGACAACATGGAGTCTAACCCCAGCACTGTCCTTTTTCAGGCTGTGAAGTCTTGAGCAAGCTATTTACCCTCTCTGTGCCTCAGTTTCTCCATCTGTAACCTGGAGGAGGTACTGATAATAGTACCTGCCTCATAAGGTTGTTGTGAGGATGAGTAACTCGTATAACATGCTCCTTAACCTGCACTTGCTGTGTCATGAGAAGCAGCTCGGGGCAGTGGTAGAGGGAGCACCAGGGAGAGAGGGCAGGTGATATCACTTGCCATCTTCCTATCACTGGTTCAGTGTGGATCCCCTGAGAATCTGTGATGAGCTCTGTGCCTGGCCGGGGCAGTGGCAGAAGTCTGCACACTATCATGGGAACATAAGCCCCTGAGGATGATAAATGGAAATCTGGCATAAAAGGCAGCCCTATAAAAGCAGGCAGCCCCCAGAAATGCCATCCTTCTACATAGGCAAGTTTTCTGGATAACGAAGATCTTAACCCTTTGGGTATAAACCATTTTTTCCCCATTTCATTCATTTGTGATAGAAATGTATTTATTATTCACTTATCTGCTTTCCTGAACTGAGTATACTGAACACAAATTAGTTTTTCTTTGAAAATTCAGGTTTACTGTAAAGGGCATAGAATTTAATAGGTTTCATAGAATTAAGGTGACTTAAGAGGAACCTCATAAAATATTTAGTATAAAGGTATCAGAACACATTTTTAGCAGCAGGCCTTTATCCACTTTACAATTACAGAAAAACCCTAAGTGTAAAATCTCAAGGTCAGTCTGAGGCTATCCCTCCTGGCATCTGGTGGCAGGCAGCAGTTTCCTTAGCCCGAGGGCAGTGCCTGGCACAGAGTACATGCTTAATCAGTATGTGAATAAATAAATAGTGTCATTTAGTCTGCACTGTGGATTATAACTCTGCCAGGGATGGAACAGATGCCAACAGTCCCAGCCACAAAAGCCAGTTCCACTAGAACTGCCGTCATCTTGGGGAAGGGAGGGAGTGAAGGGGAGCCCCACTGAGGTGGCCTCAAGGAAGGGTGCCTGCACCAAGCAGGGTTGGGGAGGTCAGCTTCTACCCACTCTGCTTCTGACCCCCTCACAACCCAGAGTAGCACTGGGCCTCACTGGGTGCTGGGCCTCAGTTTTGTGATCTGTGAGATGGGTAGAAATGTGTGTCTTCCTCATCACATGGATGCTTGTGAGGTTAAAATGAGGTTATAATAAACATGGATATTCTCTGAAAACATAAAAGGTGTGATGATGATGCAGGCTACCATCATCATCGCCATTGTCATCCACATAAGGCTGGCCTCTCTCTCTTCAGTCTCTTTTGCCTGGAAGTGACAGACACCTAACTTGGGACCAGCCTGGTTAAAACAAGACTCAATAAGCCAGGCACAGTGGCTTGTATCTTTAATCACAGCACTCTGGAAGGCTGAGGCCAGAGGATGGCTTAAACCCAGGCATTAAACACAGTAAGATCCTGTTTCTTAAAAAAAAAAAAAAAAAGAAAGAAAGAAAAGAGGACTCACAATGGACTCAGTGGACTTACACACCAAACCAAGGGTGGGAAGAGGTGTCAGACCAGATTCAGTGCTCCCAAACTACCAGGATTTGGCCTTCTCTTCTAGCTCTCCCCTGAGTATGGCCATATCCTCCACAGTCATCCAGCAGCTCCCAGCTCACATTCCCCCTTCACTCCCTGGAGGGAAGCTTTTGTCCCTTTTATCCCTAACAGCAATAGGGAGAATCCAAAGGGGTTCTGGTAGACCTGGCTGTGGTTTAGGGCCATTCCTGTACCTGAGACCAGGGGCAGTGTAGGCAGCTCCCACCCAGACCATTGTTTGAGCAGGGAAAAGAACCAAAGAAGGTGAGTGAGACAGGAGGCACGCTGCTTCTAGAGGAGAAGGTTGCTAGGTGCACAGGTCTGTCTTTTGCATGTAGTAGATTCTTCCAGGGTAAAATAAAAGGGAATCTGACCCCCAAGATTCCTGCCCCACTGGGTAGCATACTTAGAGGTCTTAGGGATTGGGGGAGAACCATCCGAGGACTCCACCAGATGGCTGAACCTATCCCCACCATCGTTTGTGCTACCTCATAGCACTGCAGGTTGTGCCCCCATGCCATGGGTCTAGACTCTCTCCCCCAAGCCCTCTAAGCATCTGCCAAGAATAAGCCCATTTGTCCTGACAAGAGTCCAAAGGGGTAGTTCATACAGTCAGAGATTACTGGTAGAAGACCAATCCTGTAGGTCTGTGCTCTCTAATATAAATTTAAACAGCCATGTGTGGCCAGTGACAACTATTGAACATCATGACTCTAGAGAATTTGGCCTGGGCCGAAGGTGTTGTATGGGAGAAACGTGGGTTTCCTGTGGACAGTTCCTCAGGTGGCTCCGGCAGTAATGACTTCTTGTTCTCACCATTGCAGGCAACAGACAACGATGTGGGCACTTTTGGGGAAGTCAGCTACTTCTTCAGTGATGACCCTGACAGGTGAGGTTCTGCCCCCCAGTGGCCCTCTGCTACTCATGAAGTCCTGGAGACTTTGCACCATCCAGGGAGGGGAGTGCTGGGCTCCTTGGTTGGAGCACTGGACTGGGAGTCAGAACCCATGGTACTGTTGCCATTTTGGCCTTAATTGTGGTATAGTCATGGTCAAGTCCCCTCAACACTCTGAGGCATAGTGACTCTGGCCCTCAAAAAGATAGGCTTTGGCTTTGGCAGTGGAGACAACTGTGTTTGTTAGAAGCTTTGGGGTGCTCACAATTGCACATCACCCTCACTCCTCCCAGCAGCAGCCCTGACTGAGCCTCATGTGCACTGTCGAGTGCTATATATACATTTGTACACGGAACCCTCATGACTAAATGCCAGAGGGGCTCACTGCTGGGCACTATTATCTGCCCCACTTTACAGACGAGGAACCTATGCTCAGAGAGGCAAAGTCACTTGCATAAAGTCACCTAGCTGCAAGTGCCAGGGCCAGGTCTCTGCATGTGATCATCCCCCTAGGACACACAGCTGCCCCCAGGAAGGGGCTCTCATTGTGCGGCAGCCCCTAGGTGGGTTTGTGGCCTCAGTGCCTGACCTGTGCCAGCTTTGTCCTGTCACCCACCACGATGACAGAGTTCTGGATTGGTCCTAGCCATTTCTTTGCCTTGTCTTCAGTTAATCTGAGCCAAGGGGAAGCCCTCTCATTTTTGACATGATCTGAGGCCAAGTGCCCAGTGAATTTAGAAGCCAAACAGAATGATCAAGACAGTGACTGTCAACTTGAATTACTGACCCCCCACTATCCATGTGAATGATGAAGAAGAGACTGGGAGATTGATAATGATGGGGACTGCCACTCTGATGGGGCCCTCAAAAAGGGAAGAAGACACAGGCGCAGCTGAATACACAGGGGACCCTGTCCTTCAGGGGACCCATGTTCACATGGCCTAGACTTGATCATGTGGGATCTTCTCATCTCTTCCCGTCTTCTGAGCTGGGGGCTTTCCCCATCTCTGAACCAGAACCTTCCAGGCTTGGTGGCTGGCAGCTGTGGACCAGATGGGAGCACACGCATGTCCACTAACAACCCGGATGAGGCTTTCCAGGGGACTCTCTGTCTGCCTTGATCTTGCTGCTACTCAGGAGACATTCGCCAGCAAGGCTTAGTCCCTCAAAGACAAGGAGTGGCTCCCACGAGAGGATCCACCACCCTCCCCCTTGCTGGATGCTTTGCTGCCTGGGTAGACCATTTTGGTGTAAAACCATATAGTATGGCAGAATTTCTGACCTTACAGTTCTCTAGCATCTAAATATCTCCAGTAAGGAGAAACTCCTGCTCACAGCAGAAAGAGGGTCTTTCTGCCTGAATCTCCTCCTCTATTAAATCAGCAACTCCTCTTTGTGTCTGAGCCTCCCACACCCCAGCTCCCTTCAGAAATAGCTGTTCTCTTGTAGGGTGAGTGAGAGAGAAGATAGATTCCGGACTTTATTTATTTCTCCACTTGACGCCTTGGGCAAGGACAGGCTGGTAAATGCAGACCCGTGTTGACAAGCCTGCCTTGAACCATGGTGTCCCTTCTCTGCCCCTTCCTGCCTGAGCAGGTTCTCCCTGGACAAGGACACGGGCCTCATCGTGCTGATAGCCAGGCTGGACTACGAGCTCATCCAGCGCTTCACCTTGACGGTCATCGCCCGGGACGGGGGCGGCGAGGAGACCACGGGCCGGGTCAGGGTCAACGTGTTAGATGTCAATGACAATGTGCCCACGTTCCAGAAGGACGCCTACGTGGGTGCCCTGAGAGAGAATGAGCCTTCTGTCACGCAGCTGGTGCGGCTCCGGGTAAGGCGCCAGGGCGTCCTGCGTTCCAGCCATTCATCTTCCCCCTCCCCCACGCTGCCCCCTTGCCCACCCCCTCAGGAAGCCACTGCTGTGTATATTGGGGGTTAAACTCTCAGTCTGTGGCAGGCATCCTTTGGGCATCCCCTGGTGTCCCTCGTGACCAAGTGGGGCTACATGTACAGTGTCTTCATCAGCTTCAACAAGGACCCCTCCCCATCTCCCTTGACAAGGACACTGAGTGGGAGGAGCTCCTTGTGTAAGGACCCCATCCCAGCCCTTTGGTGGCTGCCTACAGTCAGGAAGTGCCACAGCTTGAAGGGGCCACACAGGCCACAGGTACAGCCCCATTTTACAGGAGGGCAGGGACTGGCCTAAGAGAATACAGTGAATTAGTAGAGTAGCAGTGCCAGGACTACACCTGGATCTCTATGATCCCGTGTCCTCCTGCAGCGAGTCCCCACCAGCTTCCATAATCTCTGACCACAGACTTCTTAATGTCCTTGTGTCCCCTTCCCCACCCTGCCTACCCAAAATGACAGGACCCAAAGCCTCTGTTTGGGATGTGTTTCTCAAGCAGGTGGGGATGAAGGCAAGGGTTGGGGGGTGGACACGTGCCTGCCAGCATGGGTACAGCTCCCTGTGGGACCCAGGTGTACTCAGAGGGGTGGGGCCCCCTGGTAGCTCTCTAGGGTCAGAGACAATCTGGGAAGAAGCTCATTAATTTAGCAGTCCCAGAAGACAGTCAAAGGGGGGCAGGATCCCGGCCCCACGCCACATGCCTCCTTCCCTCTTCACATTCATGCCACCGTGTCCCAGCACTGTGCCTGCCTCAGGTGTGTGGCAGCACTCAGGAAGCATAAGGCTTCCGCTCACGTGAAGCTGGTGTTCTAAGCAAGTCTGTCAGGAATTAAGTAAGATCTTACAGTTGAGGATGAGGGGACTGATGGCGTGCACAGATCAAGGGGGTTCTCGAGGTGGGGGTTCAAGGTGGAAAGGGAGGGTAGGAGACAGGCCAGGCATGGGATGGCCCTCACAACCTGTCCCCCGCCCCCTATTCTCCCTAGGCCTCCAGCCCATACTCTAGATTTCCCAGGCCACCTCCATACCAAGCCCCTAGAGGGGAGCAGGAGTTTCCATCTTCTGGAAGCAGAGCGTGGCTTCTAGCCAAGGGACAAGAGGGGCTTTCTGAGATCCTGAGATCGAACTTGGGGTTTGATCACCCTTAAAAAGGAGCTCTGAGAGGGGCCAGCCCTGCCTACCTGCCCACTTTCTTCTGGCCCTAGGCCTTCTGCAAGCTCAGGGGCCCTGTGTATCTTCTTCCTTGCAGGCCACAGATGAAGACTCCCCTCCCAACAACCAGATCACCTACAGCATCATCAATGCTTCTGCCTTTGGCAGCTACTTTGACATCAGCGTGTACGAGGGTTATGGAGGTCTGTGTGCGGTAGAACTGAGGGTCCAGTCGGGGAGGAGGTTTGTGGGAAGAGGGTAGGCACCTTTCTTTCTCCAGGCACCTTGGACTACTCAGGAAGCTGACCTAAGCTCCTGTGGGCTGGAGTAGCATGTGGCCTGAGGTCCCCTTCTGTAGGGTCATATCAACCAGAATTTAATCTGTGTCTTAGTCCCAGGGACAGACCTGCAGGCAAACTGGAAGTTTGATGTTACTGGAATCTGTGGATTTCCCCATTTCTTACCAAAGCTGCCAGGCTAGGTCTGTGGAGCGGAGGCTTGTTTGCTGAGCTCCCCCATTCTTTGGGTGGCCTCCTCTCAGCCTTCCCAGGCTGGGACCCTTTCCTACCTGCCCTGCTGTGAGCCCTGTTCCTAGAGCTCTATCAGGAATAACAGCAACAACCTCAAGACCCCAAGAGAGAAGACCCTGTTTTTCAGATGAAGCAGCTAAGGCCCAGAGACAGGGAGCAACTTGCCCGAGGTCACCTAGCAAAGCCACTGAGCTTGGCACTTAGACCCTGTGTGATCTGGCTCTCAGCTGCCTCTCCAGCCTCACCTCTTAGCACCCCTTCCCCCAACAGGAATCCAGCCTCTTTGAGCCCCTGACACTCTCTCCCCTTACAGTGGTCACCTTCATGTCTTCTCAGAATCTGTTCCTTCTCCCAGGAAAACCCTTCCTCTCTGCCCCTTTGCCCTGCCCCCCTTTGGCCATTAAGCTCATCCCCTCTGGCTAGCTTTAAGGGCTTATTTAACACCTCCCCCTCCAGAAACTTCCTAGTTCTAAAGACTGGGTTGGGTGCCTCCAAGGCAGAATGGATGGATGTGCCAGGAAAGACTCTGAGTCTGAGCCTCATTCCTCCACTGCCCTACAGTGAGGTCAGAGAAACACCATTGCAGAAATTGCTGTCCTGGCTCCAGAAGGGCCAATGTTGTCTATAAAAGTTACATCCCTCTTTAAAAAGATTAAGAGTTCCATGCTTCTCCCCCACCCATACCTTACCCTCCTCTCAGCTAGAAGAATCCCCCCTAGATTCCATATTGCTAAAGCAATAATTTTGTTTCCCTTTTCCAAATAGAAAGTTGCAATTTAATATTACTGTGATGCCTTTGCAGACTACCCATGCCCCCCACTCCCAAGCCAGTATGCCTTCCCTCCCCTTTTGAGAATCAATGGCTTAGCACAAACAAGTACTGATGGGGGAGTCCAGGTGTGTGCAGTAGTGGGAATATCTGAGGACAAAGGTGTCTGTATTAGCTCCCTGTAAACCCTGCCTCTCAGCCCAGGTCTGCCTTTGGCATTTGGTTTCTCCACTCACCTCCAAACAGAGTTCTGCCGAAAGTAAGGTCTGCAGCACCTAACCCCAGTGTCTCTCCGAGGGGTCTAAATAGAGCCCAAAGCAGGCCTCTGGATAGGTACGAAGAGCCCATAGGATGAAAGGGGGAGGGAGGGAGAGAAGAGAAGAGAGAGAAAAAAATAAGAGAAACAGGGCCAGAGGGGGCCAAGGAGGGCCCTGCCATCTGTACCCACTGCCTGCCACCTCCCTGCCACCCCAAGTGCTTTTCTGAAGAGAAGGGTGGTGACAGGAATGGTGATAGAGAGTCTGGGGCATGACCCTGTTCTCCCAGTAGCCTCTAGACCAGTGGTTCTCAACCTTCCTAATGCCACAATGTATTTTCATTGTTAAAAAGGGGTCGCAACCCACAGGTTGAGAACCGCTGTTTTAGACTGATGGGGAAAGATACATTAAAGCAAAGATAACCAGATGAGACAGACAAAACACACAGCAGACAAGCAGGCAGTGGTGACCACTGGGGGGAGCCTGGGCTCTGGGTTCAGCCACAACCTGAGCTCATATTCCAGCTCTATTAACTTGCTAGCTGTGTGACCTTGGGCAAATTGCAGAACCTCTCTGAGCTTGATTTCTTCATCTGTAAAAGTAGGGCTATCATTACCAACAACAAATTAGTTATCAGCTGATGGGCCCAACAAAGGGCCTGGCACATCAGTGTCAGTGTCAGTGAACCTGAAATAAGACCATGAAGTTCCAGGTGTTCAGAAAACAAGGCAGGGTTGGCCTGGGTCATGCCAGCTGTATCTTTTCTGTCCAAAGTAGGGTCCCGGCTGGCTGGGCATCTGAAGTCTGCTTACAGGGGTGCTGGGACTCTGTTCTTGTCATTTCAGTCATCAGTGTGAGCCGCCCTCTGGATTACGAACAGATCCCCAATGGGCTGATATATCTAACTGTCATGGCCAAAGACGCTGGCAACCCCCCTCTTAATAGCACCGTGCCTGTCACCATCGAGGTGTTTGTAAGTACCCAGAACACTGCCCATGCCCTTCCTGGGTAAGGAGTGGTGAGTGCTTCCCAGGGTGTTGGAGATCCTCCCAGTGCCCAGTGGTGTAGAACTATGTCCCTCACATCCTTGGCTGTCCCCACAGCTCAGAATTACTGGCAGACTGTCCTAATACTTGCCCCTAACAAAGCTCTACCATTGCTGCAGCAACTAAGCTGCCTCTTGGCTTGGCCAAGGAAGGCTCAGGGTCCTGAAACTCATGAAGAAACAGATTGTCCTGCCCTGACATCATCTGGAGGACTCAGGACACCCTTGGATGGGAAATGGGAGCTCAGAGTCAAGGAGAAAATGTCATGGGATTTCTTTACTTAGGGCCACATTCTATGAAGTGTAAGGGTATTACTGGAAGATCTTCTCTCTTTTGCCTCTTTGTCTATGTTTTTTTTTAACCTTTTCCCACTCCTCTGAAGATCTAAGGGGGTCTGAAACCAAGCCACAGCTTGTCTGACATGAATATCAAGCACGCCTTAGTGCTTTCTGTGTCTGAAGTTATCAGCTGCTGAATCCATCTCCACACTGGTTCATTTGCCCCGCGCCGCACAGGGATGCAGGGGGTAGTCTGACATGGGGCCAGCAGGCCTCCCCTGCTGAATACCCACCCCCCACACACCTACCACACCCGCCCAAGCATGCCCTCTTCCCCATCTGCAGGAGAGGGTGAACAAGTTAGTGCCTTGCCGGGCTCTAGGAGGATTAGATCCGATTGTTAGGGTGGGACGTGCTGTGACCTGACAGAAGTCAGGAAGATCTCTCCCAGAGTGGCCTTGCTGTATAGGCTTCGTGACACAGCCAGCTTCTCCAGCAGTGTCCGGCACTGCCCCACACCCAGTTCAGGCCAGTTCCCAAGTCCAAAGGTCCCTGTCTGGGCCGGGGACCTCGTTTGCTTGCTTAGAAGGATAGAGCTGGAAGTGATAGAAAAGTTGAGGTGACACCTGAGAGTGAGCACCCCACCCCAGTGGGCATGTAAGAGCAGGATTTAGGGGCAGCCAGGGGAGTGAGGCTGTGCAGAACCAGGGGCAGCAAGGGGTAGGGCAGAGAGCTGGGGCCTTGCTTCTAGTCTCTATCTGGCACCTCAGGCTTCGAGAAATGTCAGGGGAAGAAGGACAAAGAGGAGAGCCACAGATGCCTGAAAACCTGCCTATGTGGAACCTGCATTCTCTCACCTTGGAATGTTGTGGGCGATACCAGACAGCTAGTGTGCATTCCCTGCCCATCACGACCACGTGCAGGCACAGTGTCCTGCTCAGAGGACAAGCCCCAACCACAGCTCCCAACCTACCCTAATCTCAGCCACACTCAACCCTGACCAACACCTTCAGCTCTTGCAACCGTCCAGAATACTGCTCTGCTCAGGCAGGCAGTGAGCCTGTCTGTGTGCAGTGTAGGAGTGGGATGTGAAGGTGAATGTGAAGCCTGCTCCCTGCCCTGGGGAGATGCTCAATGGAAAGAGGGGCCTGGCTTTGGAGGTGTGCGGGTTTAAAATCTAGCTCTGCCACCCTCCAGCTGTGTGTGGGGCTCTGAAACTCAGTCTCCTCATCTATAAAAGGGAGATAATCATGGTACCTGTTTCATGATGTGGTTGTGGGGATGAAATGAGATGGCACAGCTGGCACCTGGCATGTTGTGGTCACCACAGCTGATAAGACAGCTATGCAGACCACGGCACTACCCATGCCCTAGCCTGTGGCTGTGCCCCAGCTGTGGGGCAGAGCCCACTAGGCTTTGAGGGTGCAGATATAGAAAAGGGTAAGGGTAGGGAAGGTTTAGCTGAATGTTTTGAACAGGGCTGGGCAGGCGTAGGTATCCACATCAAAACCTTGTTGAGCTCCAGCTGGGTGCCACTCTACCTACCCCGTTCAATCTCATTTTACAGATGAGGAAGCTAAGGCTCAGGGAGGGAACATAGCTGACCTGTGGTCACTGGTGCCTTCCCACTAATAGGTAGCATAGCTAGGATTTGAACTCTGACCTGAATGATCCTACACTGACAGTCTTTCTGCCATAGCTGTAGGCATGGAGCCTTGGTAATCTCCATCCACCTGTGATCAAGACCTGTGCTTCTCAAAGTTCCTGTGCACCTGACCTACCTGGGGATCTTATTAAAATCCAGATTCTTATTTAGTTGGTTCAAAGTAAGGCTGACATCCTGTATTTCTAATGAGCTAGAAATAGCTGTATTTCTAATCAGCTAGTTAATGCTGATACTTCTGGTTAGAGGACCATACTTTGAGTAGCAAAGCCTTCGAAGATCTGCCCTCATTAGATTTTGAGACCCAGGCTCTCCCCATACTCTAGGCCCTTCCCAACTCATGGCTCAGTTAAGGAAGGGACCTCAGCATCTCTTTTTGCCTCAGCCCCTCAAAGGGACCAGAGCCTGCAGGAAGGGGAGGGCCAAAGGACTGAACTAGTCTTTTTTATCCCTGTAAGAGGAAGAGTGTCCAGGAGCCTCCTTCCCTGGTACCAGAGAGCCGAGTTCCATGTGCAGAGCTTGGTGGGGGCAGGAGCCTGCTTCGCTTTCCATTCAGCAAGACAGGGGGTGCCCTGACATGGAACCACAGCAGTCCAGTAGAAGAGGTCCCACTTTTCACATTCCCTCAAAGCCATCATGGGGTCAGTGGGGCCAACACTGGGCTTTCTTTCTGAATCTGCACCCCTGGCCCCCCGGCAGCAGGAAGGTCTGGCAATGTAGACAGGTGCCACCTCGCCTATGAGTGAGCATTGTCTCTTGAGCAAGGTTTTCAGAGGGCATAGTCACTTGTGTCTAAGGACCAAACTTGAAAAGGTCACTGCCTTTGGGTTGATTTTGCACATGGGTGGTTTCTAAGTAGCTGTCACTCAGCTAAACTGCCTCCTCCCTCCACCAAAAGGATGTTCTCTCAACTAAGGAAAAAAAAAAACACAACAAAAACCAACCCCAGCAGAGATGTAGTGGTGGCTGCACTCACTGCACTGGTTGGGGGCAGGGAGAGGCAGATGGAAATGACAGGGCTGGAGGAGGAGGGTGTGCGAGGAGCCCGGTGATTCCTTTTCATCCACTGCTTGTTGGTTTTTAATAAAGAAGTCAAACTCGGTTTGTAGATTTCCCATTAGGGGACAATAAGCTTTTGTAGAGGGAGCTGCTGAATTAGAACTAATAGCGAATGCAGCGCCAAGATCCGGGGAAATATCACCGCTAATAAGTTTCTGCCTCACGTTCTGTCTCTGACATTCTCGGCACTGTTTCGGGCAGCCAAGCAGAAACTTAAATGTCTAAGTATATGGGGCACCCGTGCCCGCGCCATGGGCCAGGGACCAGAGGCCAGGGAGATGCCCAGCCATGCTGCTGAGGGAGTCCTGAGGCTCCCTGTTATCCTGGGAGAGGGACAGGCCATGTGTGCTGTGTGCAGATTGAAGAGAAAAAGGCCTGGGCAGCTGTATCCTGGCAGACTAGGATTCTCTAAAGTCCCAAGGAGTGGGAAGTTGGATATTGGCCCCCTTCTCTTTCATGATTGCACAGCCAGAAGTGACTTCAGCAAAAGGGGCTTAATAGAGGATCACTCCTTTACAGAGCTCTCAGTTCCCTGAGAAATGAGGCTCTTGGAGCATGAACTGCTGAAGATCTGTTGTGTAAAGACCACACAAGGGGGCTATGACTCAGCCTGACTCCCGAGCTCTGCAACGGGGTTCTTAGGGATAGAGGAGAAGGCTCAGAGCTGGCTCTCTTGCGAGGCTTCCTGGAAGAGGGGGACAGGGAGGAATTCTTGGTGAGGGGTTGCAGGAGCAGTTGGTGAGGATGAGCATTGTAAAGGGTAGGAGGGCCTCTTCTCCTTGCTGAGGAGGGGTGGGAGTGGAGGTGCAGCCGGGACAGGAGACAGAGGCTGCATCTGGGCTCAAGTTTCCCCAAGATAGGGCCCACCCCACCTGGCCCTGTTCAGTTCCTCAGCCAAGCACCATCCTCTGGCACTGAGGAGGCACTGCTCCGGAGCTGACGGGCGTGGGGCCCTGGGCCAGGGTTTGCCTAGGGACAGGAGCGGCTGTTCTTGTGTATGTGGAAAGGTCTGAGTGTACCTGCCTTTAGTCAGCCCAGGGCAAGAGTAAGGCTCTGGGGACCCCCTGCCCCTGGCCTGCCACTGCATACTTCAGTAGCTATGGGTGGGGTGTTCCCTTTCCCCTTCATTCTACAAGGGTCCTGGAACTTTCCACCATCATCTTGGGTGAGTGGGCAGGAGGTCAGGGTGGGCACCCTGGGTGGGGGCTTGCGAGCTGAGGGTGGGAGCTGGTGTAAGCTTGGGGCTTAGCTGGAAGACCAAGAGTGAGCCGTGAGCCGGGAGCCGGGAGTGGCTGGCAGTCCCCTGCTGCCTTCATTTTCCATCTCCCCGTCTGTTCTTCCCTTGCAATGTGTTTCCCCAAGGCCTGTCCTACCTCCTTGAACCGTAGCCTGCCAGAGGGACAACTGACCCACTTGCAACACCCTACCTAGCTCTAGTTACACATAGAGGCCTGAGGTCCTTAGTGCCAGCTGTAGCCAAGCTGACTCCTAACTCCTGGCTGCCCACCTTAGACAGCTGACCAGCCCAACTGCTCCCTAGATCCTGAAAGCTGCCTATTTTCCTTCCAGGATGAGAATGACAACCCTCCTACCTTCAGCAAACCTGCCTACTTCGTCTCTGTGGTGGAGAACATCATGGCAGGTATGGGCCAGGTGCAGTGGGGGCTGGGGCATGGGCAGGGGCACCTGAATGCAGGCAGCCAGCAGTCACAGCACCTACAATGTACAAATGCCAGCTTTGCACAAAAATTCAGGGAGACCCTGGCTTTATATGTCTGTTTCCCAGGCCAAAACTCTGTGACAGGTCAGGGAGCCTTTGGCAATGTCTAGTTAGAGCACCTACTGGGTGCAGAAGTCCCTGCACACTTGGTCCCCACTCTCCTGCGGCTTTGGTCTAGTGGAGAAGGAGGATTAACTAAGCAATCCTGATTAAACAACCTCATGTGTGCAAAGAGTTCTCAGACTAGAGTGCTGAGAGGCAGGTTCCACAGGCCATGATTCATATCCAGTGGCCTTGAGAGATGGCACGTGTTCCTCTTTGAGGCTGAGGATGGGAACCTCATGCCTGGGTCAGGCCTCAGGTGGCAGGGCGCAGCCTGCAGACCTGGGACTGCAGGCTCCATACTCAGACTTCAGGGGATCTCCTGTCTCTGTGGCAGGCTGGCAGTGTCACTCTCACACCAAGAGTGGACTGTCTCAGCATGGAAAACACTCATGTTGGGGACTGATATAGTAGCTGAGGAGAAAGGGGATGGCTAGAGTCAGGCACAGCTGAGGTCAGGGACAGTGGATTCAGAATGGTAGGTCCAGGGACAGCAGAGTCAAGGAAAGTGGAATCAAGGGACAGCAGAGTTGGGGAGAGCTGGAGTTAGGGGCGATGGATTCAGGGACGGTAGAGTCAGGGACAGTAGAATCAGGGAATACCTCAAGTCAGAGGCAGTGGAGGCAGAGGACATTGGGGTTGGGACAGCCAGAGTCAGAGATGGTGGAGTCAGGGGATGTTGGGCTTGGGGACAGTTGGAGTTAGGGATGGTGGAATCAGGAGATAGCTGGAGTCAGGTGACAGTAGAAGCAGCGAACAGCTGAAGTCAGAGGCAGTGGACAGGGCAGCTGGAACAACTGATTCCCCCAAGCCAGGATTTACAGAGCTGGAAATGGAGGTGAAGGACTTAACTGGACATTAAAGAGAAAATATAAACCCTTATAAATTCCCTTGTGATCAAGATAAAATGAGACCAAAATTGAATACAATAAATGTAGAGTAATTTAATATGCAGCTTCATTTCCTTTTTACTTAAAAGCTGGTCAATCTGAGTGCATTTAAAATATGCTGGCCAGCCAGGCGGGGGCCAGGGAGAGGCCGTGATGTCCACTCTGCAGTTGGGCCAGGAGGGGAGGAGAGGAGGCACCACAGCCTAGGAACTATGCATGAGGACCCTCATCCTGGGCGCTCCAGTAGGCAGTCTTCCCACCTCCTGAGAGCTTGTCACAGGAGGTCCCCATCCTGGTCCCTGGCCTGGGGTTGTGAGCCTGGGAGCCACAGTGAGCAGCCCCAGTCCCTCCTTTATCTCTAAAGGAGCCACAGTGCTGTTCCTGAATGCCACGGACCTGGACCGCTCCCGGGAGTACGGCCAGGAGTCCATCATCTACTCTCTGGAGGGCTCCTCCCAGTTCCGGATCAACGCCCGTTCAGGTGAGCCCCACCCCACCCCAGTGCCCTGGTCTCCAGCACCCTCCGCTGACCATCCATACCCCGCCCCTCCCTTTTGGTTTTAAGCAAGCCAGCCTCAAGCACCCAGTTTTTCCCTTGAAATATTCACTTGAGTGTGATTGCTGCTCTTACTCCAAAAAATCACAACATGAATTTATCCACTAAAGGATGTTTTTCAAGGTTGAAGAGCCCTATTAAATAGTTTAAAATCTGTTACATTTTATGAACAGCTGGTTAACGCCCTACTCTTCAGGGACACCTTTATTCAAGTCCAAGTGTCCCCTTCCCTCAACTGTCGACCTCATTCTTGAATCCTGGCTTCTCACAAAGTTGTATGCCTCAGTTTCACCACCTGCAAAGGAGCATGATCGTATTGGGACTGTTGTGTGGATTGAATGAGTTATTATAAGGAACACACTTAGAATAATCCCTGGCATAAAAAAATTACTATCATTATTCTCTTTTCTTTAATCACCCAAGAGTCCCCATCCCTGGCTCCCTGCTCAGCCCAGGTAACTCTCTTATTTTTCTTTTATCTCTCCTTGCACCTCACTCCAGCTTTCTCTCCTCCTTGAAGCTGGGAGGAAAGGTCACCAAGGACCACCAAGAGACCCAGGTTTTTCAGCCAGACCTGGGAAGGAATCCAGGACCTTGTGCGTTCATTCAGGTGTTCATTCAGAATTCCAGGGGCCTGCTCAGAGCTAGGCACTATGCTAGGTGCTATGGTACAAGAAGGAGTACGATATGGCCCTGCCCTCATGGAGTTCTAAGTCAGCACCCCTCTTCCAAGTACTCATTTCTGTATGAGTCAGGGGACTCTAGATGCTAAATAGATAAACTCTGATATCTCAGTGGCTTAAAACAATACAAATTCTTTTTTTTTTTTTTTGAGACAGAGTCTCACTACGTCACCCTCAGTAGAGTGCTGTGGCCTCACAGCTCATAGCAACCTTAAGCCTTTGGGCTTAAGCAATTCTCTTGCCTCAGCCTCCCAAGTAGCTAGGACTATAGGTGACCACAACAATGCCTGGCTATTTTTTGGTTGTAGTTGTTATTGTTGTTTGGCAGGCTGTGCTGGGTTCCAACCCGCCAGCTCAGGTGTATGTGTCTGGTGCCCTAGCTGCTGAGCTATAGGCGCAGAGCCAACAATACAAATTCTAATCCATACAGTAGTCCCATGCAGATATTCGGTGGACACCCTTCCACAAGATGATTCTGGGACCCAGGCTCCTTCCATGCTGTGGTTAAGGTCCCTGTGGAAGGCAAAAGGGAACATGGACTATTGAGCAGGGAGGAGGGAGGCCATGGGCCAGACCTGGAAGTAACATGAGTCATTTCTGCTCACATCCCATTGGCCAGATCAGTCAATGGCCTGCCTAGACTCAAGGAAGACTGGGAGCAGCTTCTCCAATAATAATTCTACCTGAGGAAGGAAGCAGGAATCTTTGATAGACACTAACCCAGCAGGATATTAGGTCTTTCTGTTGTCCCACACTCCCTGGTTGAAGTCAGCCTCAATCCCTCTTTTGTCTCCTTTCCCTGGGAGCTCAGGGAACAGATAGCTGATGCCGATGTGTGCAAAGGCTTGAGCAAGGGGACCTGGGCCATGATAAGTCCTTTTCCCCACCCTTTAGGAAACGGGCATTCCACCCTCTGCAGGCCCACTTTTCCAGGGGGCTCAGAATAATATCAGTGAATATTAACCACTTGCCTGTCCCTGTTCTAAGTGTCCTGACCAACATCATTTCACTTCACCCTCCTCCCCATTGTGTGAGGTAGTTATCCCCATTTTCCAAATGAGGAAACTGAGGCACAGAGAGGTTAGATAACGTGACTAAGGGGTCACAGAATGTGAACTTTTGACTCCAGAGCCCAAATTTCAAACCCTGCATTATACAAAGCCACATCAGAGCCACGTCCTACCACCCAGATGCAGCGGTGGCTCTTTGGCCTTTCAGCCACTCCTCATTTCCTCCCTAGTCAGAAGCTCCGGCTCCACCTGGGGCCTTTAATGATGACATGGATATCTTCTTGCTGCCCTAACACAGCTTCTTCAGCTCCAAAGGTATAAGTGTTTTCCTCTGAGCTCCTTGGTCAAATTAGCCAGGCCTGCTCCACAAAGGTGGCCTAATTGGATCTAATTTCCCAGACAAGAGAGGCCATCTATCATGCCGACAAGTTCACGTTTAAAACTTTCTAGAGATTAATTTCTTCCTCACCCTGCCAATTAATCGACACCACCCAGGAGGGAGTGTGGCTTGTCAGGCAGACCTTTGCCTGCCTTCCACTCCTGGCCTTAGCACCTTCACTGCCCTATCCCGCACTCTACCCACCCCCAGGTTCCTGCCCAGCACAGCACAGACCAGAGCACAAGCCAGCATGCCACAGAGGGAAATGTCAGGGTAGAAGAAGTCCTAGGGACCAGCTAGCCCAGCTCCCTTATTTTATGGTAGAAGAAACCAAGCACAGAGAAGTTAAGCAACTCGCCCCAGGTCACACAGCTCAGACATTGGGCAGTAAAGATGGACAGAACATAATCCCTGCCTCTGAGGAACTCTCAGACTCCATTGGAAGGAAACAATCATTTTCTGAGCATTGGAAGTGTCACCTATAGTTATTTCAGCCTCACAACACCTCTGATTTGAAGTCACACTGATCTCCATTTTATGGATGAGAAAACTGAGGCTCAAAGAAATTAAGTAGGTTTCCCAAGGCCAGGCATCTGGGAAGGAAAATGATAAGAATTCAAATCTGGGTCTCACTGACCTCAAAGTGTAGCTCTCTCTTACACTGAGGAGATATGGTAAATGGCCCCCCTGTGATGATGGTGCCGAGGACCCTGATAATGACTCACACCTGCTCCTAAGAGCTGACTATGTGCTTGGCTGTGAACTCCATGTTCAACACCATCAAGCTGGTAGCTTAAAATGTACCCTGGCGGAAGTATTTACACCCTGGAAATCAACAAATGCCTTTTTATTTGTGAAGGGGGCAAGTTGTCAAATTTACTAGCACATCAATGCCAAGGTGACATCCATTATTTCAGTTACACTAAAATACAAAGAAATGTCAAACATGGGCTGACAAAAAAATGTGGTTTACTTTAACTGTTCATATTTAACAGAATAACTTATTTATATGTTTAGCAATTTCAAGGCAATATCATTATGCCATTCCCAAGATAATTAGGGAATTATCCGTGACTATTAATTCTCAGTGCACTATACGTTGAACTGTCCAATAATGAGTCACAAGTGAGAACACACGTGGACTACTGGGTGTTTTTCCTTCCTGTTGTATTTCTGTAACTATATAAATAAACAGTGTCTGGCACTGTTCTAAGATTCCACGATATTCATTAAGTTAATCCCACAACAGCCCCTATGCAGTAGGTCTTATTATTGTTGTTCCCTTTTGACTATATGAGGAAACTGAGGCACAGAAGATTTGAGTAATGAGTTCTAGGAGATATAGCCAGTAAGATAATGTGACTGAGTTTTAGGCCTAATGGCCCTTCTGCCCTGTTTTCTAGCACTTCCCCTGATCAGTCTAGATTCCCCACATCTACAAATACCTCCTCCTCATGGGGTTCTAGTGCCCAATGTGGGCTGCTGGCTCTGAGGCCTGGTGCTCTCCCTTCACCCTCTCGAGCACCATCTCCCCAGCACACACAGCTGCCAGATGACTACAGCCTGCTGCCATTGCTCTGGCAGGCTCTCGCCCTGGCCTACCCAAGCCCTCTCACAGCTGCTCTCCTCCCTCCACAGGGGAGATCACCACCACGTCTCTGCTGGACCGAGAGACCAAGTCTGAGTACATCCTCATCGTTCGGGCCATGGATGGGGGTGTGGGCCACAACCAGAAAACCGGCATCGCCACCGTGAGTGCCTCCAGGCCACTGTTTCCACCTCATCTCCGGGTTGCCCTCTTGGGCCTGTGGGCCCTGGGCATCCTGAGCCAGTGTGTGGAATGAGTCAGGTGGCAGGTGCAAACTCATCATCAGCCAAGGTCAGCCTGGGGGACACCACAGCTGTAAGGAAAGAAGATTCTATCATCTGGAATGTGGGGCATTCAGAAGGAGCAAAATGAAATACTTCCTCTCCTGCCCCACAGGCCAGTTGGGCAGATGGCAGAAGACATATGCCCCATAGGCCCCTCCCTGCCTTGGCACCTGCCAAAAACAGAAGTAGCATTCCTGCCAGGAGGAACAGCCCAGAGAAGGAAGCAGAACCCTAGAGGGCCCTTAGCGATGCTAAGAAATGATGCCTTGGTTTCCCAACCATGAACTAGGAGGACCAATAGAGGCCGAGAGCCCATATCCCTGGTCTTGTCACCCCTCCCCCAGTGCACCCAAGAATAGAAAGCTAATAAGGAAAATGTGGGGGCCTGAATGAGCTCTTGGCTACAGAGGAGACTGGGGGAGTGAGAAGCAGGAGGACCAGCTGACAGGTCACTTGAGGCACCTCCCCTCCTTATCCCCTGTTTGGTGTTTTGGCTCTCCCTGGGAACCCATCTCTTGACCTCTCTCCATGCCCGCACTTACCTGCCACAGCCACCCCCATTATTGTCCAGCTGGAGGGACTGGGATGTTATCGCCTAGCTAGGGACTTGGCTGAAAAATCCCTAGTGTCCTACTCTATCAAGACAGGCCCCTGCTAATAGGAATAGGAACCCTATAAATAATTTACCTGATGGCAGGTGAGCAGGGAAATTGCTTGGCTTGTAGCTGAGACTGAGAAGCTCAGGGATTCTATTAGATCCCTTACCCTGTCAATCATCTTCACCCAAGACTGGGAGTGAGGGGGAAATTCCAGGTCCTAGCAAGGATTTCAGGGGTCAGCACATCCATTCTTCTGCCTCCTGATGGACACCACTTACTCTTGTTTTCCTGAAGGGGCCTGGCTTGCTCCAGGCCCTGACTGAGGCTCCAGAGTAAGGGGAGCTGCTGGAGTTAATGCCAAGATGGCCAGCAGGCATCTGAGTGCCATCCCCCGGGGCACCTTGCCCTGAGTCATCTCAACTGGGTGCGTCCCACAGCGCCCCTTGTGGGTTCACAGGTGAACATCACGCTCCTGGACATCAATGACAACCACCCCACCTGGAAGGATGCTCCCTACTACATCAACCTGGTAGAGATGACGCCTCCAGACTCTGATGTGACTACGGTAAGTGTGGCGGCTGGACAGCAAAGTGGCCAGGAGACCTTTCCCAGGAGTGTGTGCGCTATGGGCCTGCCCAGGTGGGCCTGATGGACTTGGTGTTCTGGAAGCCCTCTTGCATGGTGAAAGGGAGTCAGAGGTCAAGGGAAAGCCCTCATCCAGCCTCCAATGTCAGTAGGCTTCAGGCTCTGTCAAAGGGAGCTTCATGCAGCCCAGGACAGTGACGGGGAGCTTGGGCTGATGTGGTTTATAAGCCCCACATGTCCTGAGACTCTAGTACTCTGGCCACTCCCTCAGGAGAGCTTCTGCCCTCAAATGGTACAAGCTGCCCCCATTGTCTTTCCTTCACCACCCTGTCACTGTGTCCATCAGCCAGAGGCAGCTCCCCTGGACTCCAAGCCTAAACTCAAAGGCTGCCTCAGCAAGGGACTTGAAGTTCACCCCAGGAACTTTCGGGCATAGGATTTGCCAGGTTTGCACAGGCCCTTGTGTGTGTTGTGTGCATGTATATCAAGGCGCCTGTGTGTAAGAGTGTGGCTTGAGCTCCAGAGGGGAGACATAGCCAAAGCTATGGGGAAGCTTAGGAAAGCCAGGGTCGAGGGCCCCACTTGATCTGCTCAGTTCTGAGATTCACATTTGTAAGTTTTCTCTGCCTCCCACCTGGTACCCCATTTGGGTTCACTTGGGGAGGTTTGTCTCCAAATGGTCAGCCCCATTGCCACCGCCCAGCCCTGAGATGGACGTGAATCCTACAAGCTCACATTAGCTCTATGTATTAAACACCTGGGAAATGCCCAGCTCTGTACCCAGAGCTTCTCAAGAGTTCTCTCTCATCTTCATACTAATGTCACCTACCAAAGGGATTCTGCTCCCATTTTACTGTGGAGGAGATGCAGACTTAGAGTTCAAGGGATGTGCCCAAGTTTCCAGAGCTAGTAAGAGGTGGTGTCAGGACTCATACCCAGGTCTGTCCAACGTTGAAGCAAAGATTAGAAAACTACCTGGCACCTTCCTTATTCCTCTGTGGCTCAAAGGATACCCTGGCAGGTGGCCCAGGTCCTGAGGAACTAGAGAACTTGGGTGGGATGGGACAACCAAAATTTGGTAAATTTTACACCCAGTAACCTTGGGCTAATGATGCCTAAGCTCTCGCCCTTCCCCTCATCAGCCCTGCCCAGTAGTGACAAGGTCCACCTGAATCTAGGTGGAGAGGAGGCCAGCCTAGATGGAAGGACAAAGAGAGGGAGGAAAGCGTTGGCCATCACACCTGTCTTGCCCACCTTTCCATATGTTTAAGATCTGACTGGCCCTCCACTGCAGTATGGGTGTCCCCTCCCCAGTGGCACAGGGCAGGGGTGAGGGATCTGGAAGGTGGAGACCAGCATTCTTGGGAAGAAAAATCTGATTTTTCAAAGCCCCAGTAGGGGGATTCCTTCCAGCCCAGAGCCAGGTTTGGAAACCGCTCCTGTGGGCCATTTGCACAGCTCTATAAAGCTTTCCGGTGGGTACTCTCTGCTGCCACCACATGGACACTAGCCCAGGACAACCTCCTCTCCACCCCAGCCAGGAACCCCAAGAGCTGGGGCATCTCTCAATACCTGTCTAGTCAACTTTTATCTTACCCTGTGTTTCTGGGAAATTCTTCCCAGTGGGAATTAAGGGGCAGGTGAGGAAGGTGGTTCTAGGAGAAAGTGGCTGTATCTGACACCAGCTGGGGTGGTGCCATTGTCAAACAGTCCACCTGGAGGACAAGGACTAGGTCTGCCATCCAGGACTGCACTCAGCTTGGGGCATTTGTGAGCTCTGGTCCCCGTGGCCTTCTCCTGATCTGCCCCCCGCCCCCCGGTCTCACATCCTTCTGAGTTGTAAGCAGAGTCAGACGATGGAGCAGGGGCTTCCTCGCTTTCCTGGGACCCTCAACAAGCTTTCAATGAGCATCTGTGTGCAGGTCCGAGGCTTGCCAGGCTGAGGGTATGGGAAGCAGCAACCCTCCTGCCCTGCCTTTGAGGAGCTTCATGTCACCCTTCTGCTCAGACCCTACTGGCTGTCATCTCACTCTTTAGAAAAGCCAGAGTCCTTACCAGACCTGCAAAGCCTGCAGGACCTGCCCACCATTTACCTTTGAGGAGACAGATGTGTGAGCACAGTCTGCAGTATAGAGGGGACTGGGCTGTTCTACCCCTGCCAGGGGTGGGCACCGTGTGAGGGCACTTGAGATTTTCAGTGTCCCATGATAATGTTGGAGACCTGAAAAAAAATTCTCAAAAAGGGCAAAATTAAGATGAAACTTGTTAAGTTAAACAGCTACCAAATGAAATCTGGCAACTTCAGTTAACTATGAAATTTAGTGTTTGTGAAGCTTCCGTTAGTTTGAGGACAAATTGGAGATTAGAGTTTCTAGACTTCTTGAGAATTTTGCAGAATTTTCTGAAATTCCCGGTTGTGTATGATGATTGCCAGGAAATGAGAAATCAAGAAGTTCATACATTAATCAAGTTTGTCAGGGAAAAATACTTCCCTTTGTATTAACCTGGATAGAAGTGGAACACATTATTCTTAGTAAAGCATCACAAGAATGGAGAAACATGAATCCTATGTACTCAAATGTGATATAAGGACAATTAATGACAATTAATGACATGGTGGAGGTGGGGGAAGGGGAGAGCAGAGAGAGAAAGAAGGGAGGGGTGAGGGAAAAGAAGAGCAGAGAGAGAGAAGGGGTGGTGGGGTCTTAGTGTGTGACACACCTTTTGGGGGCAAGACACAGTTGTAAGAGGGACTTTATCTAACAAATCCAATCAGTGTAACCTGGTTTCTTATATCCTCAAATAAAAAAAAAAAAAGAAAGAAAAATACTTCCAAAGGAATAGTCAAAAATTATTTTAAATTGTATATCTATAAAGCATAAGTCTGGGCTCGATGCCCATAGTTCAGTGGTTAGGGCACCAGCCACATGCATAGAGGCTGGAGGGTTCAAACCCAGCCAGGGCCTGCTAAGCAACAATGACAATGACAACAACAAAAATAGCCAGGCACTGTGGTAGGTGCCTGTAGTCCTAGCTACTTGGGAGGCTGAGGCAAGAGAATCACTTAAGCCCAAGAGTTTGAGGTTGCTGTGAGCCGTGACAGGACAGCACTCTACAGAAGGTGACATAGTGAGACTCTGTGTCAAAAAAGCCTAAGTCCACACATACATGGGTATCTTTTAATACTTTAGAGAGGGCCCCCTGAGGCCTTTTATGGCCTCACAGCAGGCCAAGGTAAGGCAGGGCTGTGGCAAATGTGTGAGTCAAGGTGACCGCAGGAGGGAACTGCTAACACAGAGGGTCGTGTGACATCAAGGAGGAGGTGATACTTGAAAAGTCTGAACCCCTCCTGACTCATCTCCCACCACCCTTCTCACACCTACGGCGCGCACACACACACACACACACACACACACACGCCTCCCAGTTGTCTGCACCCACCCACTCTTTCTACCGCAGAGATTGTGCTCCAGCTCTACCCTTCCCCAGACTGCTCTTCCTCACTCCCCTACCCTGTGCGTTCCACGGCACGTTCTTTTTCCTCTGTCCTAACTTAAAATGTCGCATCTTAGAGGAGCCCTCCCTGACTCCTGCCTAAACTAGCTCTGCCCCTCTCTATAGTCTGTTTCCTTCAGAGCTGGCTCCACAATCTGTGCTTATTTGTTTGGTAGGTTAGTTGCTCATCAAGAGTCAGTATGCTTTGGCGATTAAGCTACCCCAGCTATGACACTTACCAGCTGTGTGACCTTGGGCAAGCTACTTAACCTCTCTGTGCTCCAATCTTCTCATCTAGAAATGGGGCCAGTAAGAGTGCCCACCTGATAGAGCTGTGGTCAGTACTCGAATGAGCCAAAACACAGATCACACTGGGGCATGGTGGCACAGTGGATAAACGGTAGCTGCTGTCATCATCATCCTCATCAGCCTCCCTAGCTGTAATCACACCTGTCTTGTTGAGTGTGAAACCAAAGTGCCAGTGTGGTAGGTATTCAAAATATTTACTGTTGAGGGCTTGTTAATCTAACCTTTCCTCGCTTCCCCACTCATACCTCAGCTCTGCCAGGCCGGGCTGGGTCTTCCTTGTCAAAGGGAGACTTAGCCTGTGTGGCCTAGGACTTCCCCAAAGGTCCCTTTAGAGGGGGTCCAAGGTCACACAGCTGGGCCCAAGATCATACAGCTGGGAAGTGGCACAGCTGGGTTAGTATGGTAGCTTAATCACCAAACTATACTGCCTCTTAATAAGCAAATAACCTCCAAAATCCACAGCCCCAAAGCCCCAGGGGCTTCTCAGAGCTTGTGTGCAGACAAGTGTGTGCCCACGTGCGCTTTCATTCAGGTGCATTTGGAGTCAGCGGGGCATGTGATTCTGTGCGCCAGGTGTAGCCTGGAACATGGGCACTGAGGACGTCCACCTGCACAGGCATGCTCTTAAGGAGTGGCTGTGTCTCTGCAAGTGAGATTTTGGTCCAGCTCTCCCTCCTGGCTTCTGCAGCCTCCTTCAAGGACCTGGCTGATGGGCATTGATTTAGAGCCTTTCAAAGCCCTCCAGCAAAATAAAGGAGAGGGGAGAGGGAGAGAATTATTCCCCGTCAGGCCAGGAGAAAAATGACGAGCGTGAAATGGAAAATAAATGAAGGGAAAGTGGTGAGATTCTACAAAATTGCCCAGAGGGGAACCTGCAAGAGAGGACACAGCCCACCCTTCTCCTGTCCCCCACCCGACCCCATGAACCATGGAGTGGACCAAGAGGTCCAAAATCATTGCCCACTCTCAAACCAGGGCCACTTGGCTGCAGGAAATACACTGTAGCTGTTGTATTCATTGTGCTGTCTGTGGTGGGAGTTTATACATGTACCCAAGAGACAGTGGGCCTGGGTTAGCC